GTGTGTGTGTGTGTAATGGAGAAGCACAGGGTCAATGCACACGCGCAAAGTGGACGACCGAGCGAACGACAAATCCATAAATACGACTGTGTGTCGCGTGTGTATGTCTGCATGTGTGTGTGTGTGTGCGTGCGCGTGCGTGCGTGCCTGCGTGCCCGTGTACATGTACATGTGCGTGTGGGCGGTTGTGCGCGTGTAAGCGTGTGCACGGCTGCAGCAACATGCATATGTGCATGTATATGTATGTGCGTACGTAGCGACATATAGTACATAGGTAGGTATATGTATGTACTCACTTGTACGCACTGATGTATGTCTTTATGTATGTGCACGTGTATACGCGCATGCTCGCACGTGTGCAAGTACGAGCGCACGCATTTACGAGCGAAGATTGACATGCATGTACGAATGTAATATGTCGGCATGTAGGCATCGATGTGCACCTGCTACAGCATGTATGGATGTCTGTATGCATGCATGCATGCACATGTGCATGTATGTATGTATGTATGTATGTATGTATGCATGTATGTATGTATGTATGTATGTACGTACGTATGTATGTATGTATGTATGTAGGCAACCTTGCATGCATGCACTATCCAGAATACAGTATACGATCGCGTAACGGGTGTTGATGTTGTCTTTCCGGTTCTATCCTGCGGGCTATTCAGTGGTAGGCTTTCGCAAGCACCCACTCAAGACACAAACAGTGGCAAGTGGCATCGCTGCAAACAGCGCTCGATTTGGCAAGCACCAGCTCGGGAAACACATCAGTGGCATCACAACAAATAGCAAATGAAAACCAGCCAATCCCCATGTAGACGCTCGAGTTTGCAAGCACCTGCTCGACAAACAAAAACCAGTGGCAAAGCAGCAAACAACAAATCAACGCCAGACATTCCGCATGCAGACGCTGGATGTCGAAAGCACCAACTCGAGACACACAAGTTGCATCATAACATATCAAAACCAGCCATGTTTAAGGCAGATGCTCAATTCCACAAGCACCCGTTCGAGACACACATCCGTGGCACCACAACACATCAAAACGAGCCATTACCCATGCAGACGCTCGATTCCACAAGCGACTGCTCGAGACACACACACACACACACCCACCAATGGCATCACAACACGCTGAACTTGGGTTTCTTGTCTTCTGGTCTTGGGGCCGATCTCAACGAAAGACCGCGCACAGCACTGGATCGCGCAGCATTCAAACCGGATGGGAAACCTGATACGATAAAGGTGTTGAAATAGGATGAACTAGATGTGTGCGCAGGCGTATTCGCAATTGTGTGTCCGCGCATTTGATTGGGTGTGTTCCCACGCAGTGCGGACTTACCCTGCATGCTTGCAGGTCTCTCCCTCTCTGAGGCCTGCTGCCGTCGCCGTTGCTTCAGGCCTTGGAGGCCGATGTGGCGCCAGGCCAGGTTCTCGCGCCTAGGTTGAGAGTCTAGGTGGTTTGAGTTGGAGATTTTGGAATGGGGCTCAGGGCTTTAGGGTTGGCGTTGAGTTGGAGTTCACAGGGGTGTGTTCGGCTACTCTGGGACGGCATGCTCACCCGGAGCATTAGAAGTTCTATGCTTCGAAACAGCCTAGCCGTTACAGGGGATCCTCTGCTTCTCATCAGCTCCCGGGCTCTAAGGGCCGGACCGAATGGCCTCCTCGTTGCCCTGCTTGGCCTCCAGGGTCGCCTCCGCCCAAACCTGAGAACTCTCGGCACTTCGAAGGCTTTGGTAAAGGCTGTGGTACCAAAAATATAGGACTTCAGGGGCAAGTCAGGCCGATTGGGGCGCATCGGAACGGAAGCCCTGTGCTTAGGAATCCTGATGGTGATCGTGCCTGCTTCAGAGCTGGCGACTCCATCTCCAACATTTTTCCCAAAGCCGGGCTGCCTGGAGATGATTATCTTCAGGCAGCGGGTAGCAGACAGTCAACGACAGGAAATTTCCAAAGCCGGGCAGCTGCAATTCTCTTCTGCGTTTTCCACATTGCTGAGGTAAAGCAAGTTGCCTGGCAAATGTCGGGCACTGGCTCGTCAATATGTGTCAAGACTGCCGCCATGAATGATGCTTCAATTGAACCCTGGGTAAACACCAATTAACAGAGTCCGAGTCGAGCATGCCAGTCTCGGCAAAGACAGTCATATTGAACGATCTTGTAAGTATGTTGAAGCTGCAGTGGGTTGCAGTATCTCGGACTCATATTCGGTCGAGAATCCAATTGCAACAGCCACGGCTGCCATAATGTACAGAGACGCATCTGGTGTAGATTCGCTGCACCAGAGAGCAACGAAGACTTGGCACATGCCTGCCAGTCACTTTACTTGCGATCCGGCCTATAAACCACTTGAGTCACTGCAGATTTGGTCCACTACTCAGACTCTCCTAAACCCCTAAACCCTAAACCCAAGGCCCTAAGCCTTCAATGAGCCTAAGCCCGCAGTGCTTGCACGAGCGCCTGCAAAGCCCTGCACCACCTGCGCCAACTGCACTGTTGGGGATCGGCTCGCCAGGGCAGACGCAAGCCCACGTGCGAAGAAGTGGAGCACAACACCTCAAAGGACGAGTTGCAGATGAAAAATAATCCACACCATCCCAGCCCTTTCAACAAGAGGAGCTTGCCTGATGCTAGCCTTGAGCTGAGCCAGTGGTCTTTGGCACCTAAGACATCGCAGAGTTCAGTACCATGGACTGCATCACAGAGATTAGAAACTTCTGCTGCGCCGCTGGGACAGCGAGCCTCAAGTCCAAGTCAGCTGAGTCGCTTAAGCAGATATGGATGTGATGTGAGATTGACCGCCAGAAGGGCGGGAAGAGAATCGTCAGCGCAAATAGGTGCGTAAACAAGGTGTACTCCTGAATGCTCCCTCCATATCTTTGGATGAAGTTCCTGAACAGGCGGAAGGCTGTGGAATTCTGATGGCATACAGCCTCACCTTCGTCTCGCCGAAAACCGTATCCCTGGCATGCAAGGCGATCTGAGATCTGACCCCTTGTCGTATTGCTTTCAATACTGTACCCTAACTTGGTACCTGCTACCCTCTTCTTTATACTCTACATATACAATTGCTTTTGAGGGTCCGCATCAGTCTCAGCTCGACCGTCTGGAGAAGCGTCGCGGTCAGTAGCCGGCAGAGGCCATCCACTAAGACTTCCATGTCGGCGGTCAATGCGGATTTTACGCACCTTGGGGGCCGTGTATGTACATATATATATATATATGCACATACACGTAGATGTGAGCATACCTACCTACCTACCTACCTA